GCCGGTAGCAATGGAGCTCGGCGGCGCCGGACCCAGACCGCTCTGCAGGAAAGGGTCAGTGGTAACAGGACGGGTAGAAACGCGCCGTGGGGTGGGCTGCGGGACACAGGGCGCCCGGGGACTCTGGGCTCGGCCCTCTGAGGAGCCCGGCCTGGCAGGCAGGTGTGAGGGCGCGGCCTCCAGCCCCACCGCGGGGCGGGAAGCGCAGAGAAGGCTGTTGAGGAGCGGCCTGGGCTCACCTGTGTGCTATTGTACAGAGGCCTCTCAGCAGGACAGGCTTTATCAATTAGAGGACTTAACGAGAGAAAAAAAGATATTTGTATCACGTGGGAATGCTGCAAAAGCCACTTGGATTGTACTGTGTGAATTCCTGCAGCTGAGACACGTCAGTGAGGGCAAGGGCGTTGTGTGGAACAGCACACAAACCCCACATTCAATTGTGTGCGAGCTGGCGCACAGGGATGAGCGTGTGAGCAATGAGAACGCCTGTTATCGATTCAGCTACACAGCCATGCCTTTTCCTCTTCTACTTGCCTGTCAGACACACCCTCCCACAAATACAAACACCGAGCTGTCTGGGGCTCGACAGCTCCTTTCTCTCTGACAGCCGCGCTTGCACTGCTGGGTTAGGGTTACTCGCCGCTGGGTGAATGTACACTATGAGTGCCTTAAAGGTTTCTAAAGAGTTAGCAGCTTTGCATAGGTAATACTGTAGTTGTTTTCTCTGAATTATAATATTCTCCTGTAAGAATCATATCTCGAAATACTTATTTGAATTTTTCAATTGCAGGTTCAAGTTTTAAACGCAAAAAGACTCTACTTAATGATAATGTTTATAGATCAATGTCGTGTGGCTGGGTTGCCCTTGGACACTCACTTTACTGGAATGCTTGAAGGTGTAGTCCAGTCTTTCAATACAGGGAAATTTACCATTTACTTTAACAAACGGCAGCAACAGTGTAAGAAACAGCACCAGGAAATATGATTCATCGGATGTTAGGAAATGCATCTCTCACTGTTGCCTGAAAAATAAAACCTAGCAGATTTTTGGAAGCTCTATAGCATGGACATTTCATTTTTAGACACAACAATGTTCTAGTACAAAGGATACCTAAGATGCAGTCAACGGTTACAGAAAATTTGCTAGTTTGTTACATAGCAGTTAGTAACCTTAAAAACTGTAATGCAGCATTCTTCACAATCTACATATTTAAATGTTTTATTAGTTTTGCTAGTAGACATGTTGCTTCCATGTTTTTATTTATTTTAATTTTCATATTTAAATGTTTTATTAGTTTTGCTAGTAGACATGTTGCTTCCATGTTTTTATTTATTTTAATTTTTAAAATTAAATATACAAGAAAAAATAGAATGTGTCAATGAATGGGTAATTCTTACCATTAATCAACAATATAGGATGACGCTCCTTTGGGAGGGGCTAATCTCCAAAATAGTTTTACTTGCACAGTTCTGTAGTTCTGTAACAACTTTATGTTTTAAAATTTATATTCTGTGCCCTTATTCTAGTGTTCATGAATAAAAAAAGCAGAGTTGTCCTTTATTTTTGACAGAGCTACAATGTCTTAAGGATAAAGGATACTATAGATTGTGCATCTAAGCAACACTAAATGTCAGTTGTATCTCAGTAATCCTTGCAATTATTAATTTTATAGTGAAATCTTTCTCTAAGGACACCTCAAAGGAAAAAAAATGGCTATTTAGCAGTGGGTGAAGACTGAATAAACATGTTTGTACTAATAATTACTAATGAGTAAGTGTGTGCAAAGAGACCTTGGGCTGCTTCCTTACAAAACCAAATTTACCTGAATACGGTGGAGTGAGACACGTTGTTTCTGTGCCATAAATGATGAAAAAGCAGTCTATAAAGAAAGGGGTTTTTCAGGTTTTTTTTTATTCACAAAGATAGTAGTAAATAGTAATGTGTAAATTTGCCAAGTTGATATTAAAACATACATTATACTGAATAGCCAAGTTATGTAACCGAGTACCAGTATGGTAAGACTATGCAGTGTCTCATATATGTTACATTATGTACTCCTGTAACTCTACAAGACCATGTATATCACCTCAGAATATTTTAAAATTAACATGGAACAAAGCAAAGAATAACAATTTAATGTTGTGACTCCAGGAGAACGAAATCCTTAAAGCATTTTTGTGAAACAGAACTGTGTGTAAATTATGTTTCACAATTTTAAAAACTTAGGTTTTCCATTCAGCCCTGGGGTGTGTCTACGTGCGTTTCTTCCTGGAGGAGACCCGAGGTATCTACCATGGATCTCCCAAAATATACCCATGAAAAACAATGAACATTAAATTGTCAGCACCAAAAAGTATCTCAATTAAATCTCATGTCGAATTAAGCAGTTAATGAGCAATCTGAATACACTCAATGTTTCTTACATCAGTACCAATGTATTTTTGCAGAATCAAACCAATAAAAAAAAACCTGACACTGGCAAATATATAGACAGTATTCAAGGCACTTATAATTAAGGAGTTTTACCAGTTTTTAGTGTAGAAATAAATTTGATAAATTAGAATTTGACTATTCTAATACTCGGGTCTTTAGTTAAAACACTTTTACTTGCTCATAGTAGTACCTACAATGAACTAGGCACTGTACAAATACAGAAGATATGAAGCCTTACCCAGAGACCTTCATGGAAAGCTAGGAAAACTATACCATTACGCAGTTACAATGAAAAGAATTGCATATAAATTCATATTTTAAAAAATATTTCCTGAACTCCACTGTGAATTTCAGCCAGTTCTGTACATCAGGCCCTATAACCTATGCTAAGGAGGCAGCAGTCACCTGTCTGTAGGCTGAGCTACATGTTCTGATAATTCTTTTGTTTATGATAAACCTGTATTTCCTTACACTGTCCAAGAGTGGAATATGCTAACAATATTACAAATAATAAATAGTCATAACGATAAAAGCGACACTTTGTTAAGGGGATTTTTGCTTGATAATAAATATGACAGCATACAAGTTTCTATTTTTTTTTCTTTTAAGTGATGACCAAGGCTGACCCCAAGGCTGCTAGTGCAGGGTAAGCCAAGAGACACAAAACAACTGGAGAATACGTGATGAGCGTGGCGCCATGAAAAGGTTCACTTACTAGCTCCTCTGTCACTGATTCTTTAACCCATTGCTAAAATAAATATATCAAATCAAATTTCAGGTGACAAAATTAAAGCTAGTTTAAATTAAAATATTGTCCCTAATCCAAAATATACAACAGTTACCATGTGAAATGCAATGAGAAACCTTAACAACGTGTGAAGAACACTTGGAAAAAACTAACTTCCAAAAATACTCTTACAAAGTATTAACCACAGTCTTAGAGCTCCTGACAGTGACACTTAAAGGTTAGACTTCAAATGCTGTCATATGTATATATGTAGTAGAGCAGCTCATAGAGTAGACTAGCACAGCTTAAATTATTTATTTACAGCCATGTTCAGTGCAATTCAGAGTGAGATTGAGTCACGTAGAATACAGCTGAGAACTTGCATAAAAATTCCCCTCTCTGGTAATGCAGTGTTTTTGAGTATGTGGAAAAGGATGGATTCATCTGAAAACTGAAACCTTCTCCAATCTCTCTGGAGATTTCTGTCTGCTTGTACATAGTGGGATGACAATGAAAGGCATGGCTAACTGGTTGCTGACCAGTGCTTGCCCTGTAACTTCTAGGACAGTGTTTTTTATAAGACACATGTTATATGTGGATGCTTTCTGAAATCCCCTGCAAAAGGATCGTAAATTATTTTGGACATTGTTTGTGTGTGCCATATCTTTTTACATTGCAGATGAAAAGGAAGAAAGCATTTCTGTTTACAGAGTGGCATTGTGCGTTAATCTGCTTTAGAACAGATGTCTTCTCAGTGTGATCACTTTTGTTTCTTCAGTCAGGGCTAATGTTTCTGATCCAAATCTGCTACTTAACCTTACATGAAAGGTACACTTTTACCACCTTTCTAGTGAAGAGACAGTCCTTATTTCTTCTTCTGAGCTGGCAACTGCTAATAAATCCATCCAATTTATGATTCAAAAAGTTCAGAACTATTTAATTTGTCTTCTTCATACAGCAAAATATTTTCCATGAGCTTCTTTTTTTGATCATTTATTTGTATTTTCCAAGATGTCTCTCTGGCTAATGCTGCAAAACAAAAAAGCCCAAACATTGAGAAAAAAAAATCCATCTATGTCTAAGGAATAGATTAAAATTTTAAATTAAAAAAAAGAACAACCAAACAAAACCAAACCAAAACTGGCTTAGGAAAATAATCTGATAGAAAAACAGAAAACATTTTGCAGATTTATTGGTAAAATCATAACCAGGGATAAAAGATTTACTGAAATGTGTTTAGAAGTAGGAAGAAGAACCTAAGCGATTCTGGAGAAGAGAGTAATTTGTCCCTACTGTTCTAATACTAGGGCACTTTCACAAAGACTTTGGTTGTCCCAACAGGAGCACAGGCAGTTTTGCCTAAACAGCTTGAAGATCATGTGCATTTGAATGTGCTGTGTGCACCCTTCAGATTTATCTAGATTTACCTTGTGAAGAACACGAGGAGTCAGGGTCTGCATTTTGCGGTTGAAAGGTGCTCTGTGCAGCTGATGCTGTTTCCAAGACGTCATCACTTTTGGTGCATGCCGCATTTCTTTCCTGGAGTCCATTTGCAGGTTTTTCCTGCTTGATCCTGTAATCAGGGGCTGCCATATTTTCTGAATTGCTACAGCTGTTGCTAGATAGCTCATCTGTAGATCTTTCTGAAGGATTCCACATAAAACTGCTTGATTCATCTGATTCACAAGGGATCCTTGAGATTTGGTCGCAGTAGATGTCAGGTGACACAGCTCCTGATAAAGGTGTGCAGGGACTGGCACTCGACAGGATCACTGGCTGTGTGCTCTCTTCTTTATTCTCCCCTGCAGAAGGCACATCTGTGCTGAGACTAATCGTCTCATCATCAGTTTCTTCCGGAGTGTTCACAGAGAATCCAGAAGTGCTGCCTCCACAGAAGTAATGCTCTCTTAATTTATTTTCAGCCATTTCCATAATTCCAAGCACCTGTTTTTAACAACAAAATCTGTGAATGCAGAATAATTCCTGTACCCCTGCTTACGCATATTCTTCAGTGTCCACACTGTCAAAAACAGGTAACACGTGAATGTTGTAGCTTTAGACCTTGCTGTCAAGAGACTAAAACCTTGGTCATGTATTTAAAATATTACCTCTGCTATGTTAGAATTCCTCTTTCTCAGACAAAGGCAGATGGCTGAGGCAAAATCATTAGCAACCTCTTCCAGCAAGTGTCCTGCTTTCCTGTCTAGATATTTACAGCATATTGCCCTGGCAGCAAGCTTTTCAAAATCTTTTCCTTTGGAGTGTGAGTTTTCTTTCGCTATTTGGATTTCATCAGCAATCATATCTTTCTGTTCAAAGGAAAGAGATACATTAGTGAAGGCAAAATTAAGACAAATATTTATTTGTATCTGAATCACTAAGAATATTACTCTTGCCATATATTTGTTATTATTGCACCTTAATGGCTGCTTTAGAGACCTTTAAGGATCTCCATTCATGCAACTTCCAGAAATGTTTGTTTACACAGGAAAGAAAAGACCAAAGGTTTTCTCTGCATGTGTCAAACTCACTACAACAGACCCAGCTCTTCAGGCTTTTGCCCATTTATATGAGTGAAAAACATCAACACTGTATATAGCAGCATTCTTGCACAGGACTTTTCAAACATTTGTTAAAGAAATCAGAAACCTAGGATTCTTTATTTTCTGAACCCATTTGCACATTGCTGAATTGCTTGGAGATAATAAGTAAGAATACTACAATTTTCCCCTCAAAGGTTTCAACAAGATGGCAAGTCAGAAGGAGCATATCCCAGAGAAGGAAAATAAGTGGAGTCTGTTTTCATGATGGTGTTCATGGTGTTCAATGGGCCTGACCAGTTCTGGTTGCTTGTGGAAGTTGTTTGTGTAGTTCTAATCACAGCTTGGGCAAGTTGTCCAGGGTATAAATTCCAGACACTAATGCAATACATAAAAGCCTGATAAACATTATGATAAGCAACTGCAGTTACTGCCTACCCAAGTTTCCCCATTCATTTTGGCTCATAAGAGCTCTTTCTGGCACATAAAAACCATGCAGCAGCATTTCAGCCCAAAGCCTTGTATCTTAAATAAGCATGTGTTTAAACACCAATTATTCGGGAGTATCTCCTAATATAATCAGGCCAGCACTCCTGAGTGCGATATGTGAAATGGGAATATATATTCTGCTGCCATCTAAAGGCAGGTAGACTATTGATGTTAAAGGAACCAGGATATGGCTTCTAAACATCCCTTCCTCAGGATGTGTACAGCAGCCTGCAAATAACAAACTGTGTTTATATAAAATGTAAATTCATTTTATGACAGCCACCCCATTCACTTGTGTTGGTATTCATTATCCTGCTTTTTCTTACCAGATAGATAGGGTGTCTTCCTTCATCCAGTGCCTTAATCCCTGTTAGGATCTCTGCTAAGACCTAGAAAGTATATTTGAAAGATAAAACAATTTGTTCAGAAGTAATTTTATTTTAAATAATTAGCTTTGTTATATATATATATATATATATA